TCGCCTGGAATAATTCGGATCACATACGTAAAAATCTATTTTGTTTTCGTTCATACTCATTCATCTTACACTAGCCCAACTAGTTCAAACTGTCTTATATCTATGCACGAGAGAAGTTTGGAAAAATCATACGCTGGAAAGAAGTACTCCTAAAAATGACAAAGATGAATTGAGCTGATCCGAAATACCGTAAATGATGTAGTTCGAATTAGAATGCCAATCTAGATGGGATACATCGAATTATGGCAGCAAACATCGATAGACTCTTATTTTCCTATCTCTCAACTCATTTTCTGTCAGTTTTTATAAAAGAAAAGAATATATTATTCGATACGTTGAAGTATCTTCTAAGGTATTTGAAAATATCTCGATGAATGAATGTATAGATTTGATGCAGCATTCATCGATGAAAAAGTGAACTAAACACATGAACTTATCGAAAATCACAACCATATCTAGATCTATCTTAACTCACACACCCATATATGTACAGTCATACCCTTTTGATTATTTGAAAATGTCAACATAAAACTTCAGAATGTGTGTACATTGTCACATTTGCCATAAGTCTTTTTGATTCTTCCATAGACGACACAACATATTCAATAAGATTTCACATACACCGATAAGAATTTAACATGACCTATTATGTGTCATCTCGATTCTGGTATTAGCATCAGACTTCCTTAAAAAAATTGTTTTTTCTCAAAAGAATTAGATTAACAAAAAAAACTTGTTTTTTTTACAAGTTTTTTTTTCGATATGTAAAGGTTTTTGATGTTCAAGTTTTAATATACAAGCTAAATGCTTTTCATTTTCGTCTTTTTTTTGTTGAGAGATAAGATAGAGTGCTCAATCTTCTAAAATATCCATTAAAATTGAAAAATAATTGCTAATAAAAATATGGCTATTTGTATCATCTTATTAAAAAATTGCTATATGTTCGTAGTAATGTATATTTTATTTATTTCAACATGAAATACAATGAAACTTCTTCCTTAAGCCAGCTGTGCTCCGTTAACCCTTGGAGTACCGGCCTCTTTTAACCGTGATTTTGATGACATGTGTTCTTTTTTAATAATCCTTTTACTTTTCAGCCAATATTTTCGTAAGATCTGACCTTTTCTTGTTTTATTCTATAGAAAAAAATGAGAACGATGTTCCTTATTTAGAACAATTAATACAAAAGACACGTTTGACAGAATGATCACTACAAACGAACGAAGAACAACTGAAACATTGAATTGATGTTTTCTTGTCCGTAGAACGTTCACAAATGGAGCACCTTTTTCGTTTTGGTTGAGTGGGATTTTCATTCGCTTCTGCCGGATCGTTCTTCGACACAGGATAACCGACGATTGCTAAAGCATTTAGAATATCTGTGTTCAAAAATTTCGAGTTCTTCGAACGAAAATCCAACAGATGCGATACCAGTGCTAATCCTAATTCTTCCAAAAATAATCGACGTTTATGATTTGTATTCTGATTCCATTGAGGATTTTTCACTTTCCAGACAATCAGAGCATTTATGGCAGCAATGTCTATCATCCCATAGAAAATACAAACTGGCCATCGCTTTGTACCTCGTTTTACCTGAAAAGTAAAATAAGCTATAGAAATACTGAAATATTTTTTACCGTGTATTTATGACACATTTGATCAACAGTATCGACAGCCCCCTTTGTTTTGTTATAATCCAATATAATGATCGGTTTTCCAGTTTTATTGTCCACTTGATTGTCGTGATGTTTTGAGGAGAGCAATAAAACAGCTTTATTCTGTTTTGGGACAAATGAAACTAAGGTTAAACCATCTTGGAAACCAAAGAGCGAAGAACCCACTTCACGATTTTCGTTGGATTGAAACTCGATAGGTATTTCTGACTTGTTTTTTCGCAGTGTTCCTATAAGAGTCAGATTCTTTGTTTGAAGCGTTTGGGCTAATGGAACACTTGTGAAGAAATTATCTATTGTAACGTTTCTTTGGAAGCCGTAAAGTGGTTTGAGTAATTCTAGAACGACTTTGGCACCTATCTGTGTTTGTCTTTGCTCATTCGGTTGTCGTCCAACGTAAGGAAATGCATTGAATACATAATGTGAGTCCACATCAACGCATAGCCAAAATTTTAATCCGTATTTGTCAGGCTTTTTTGGCATATATTGACGGAAGGAACATTTTCCTCTAAATCCTAGTAGTTGTTCATCAATAGTAACATTTGATCCCGGTGTGTAACATGTTTGTAAGCAATTTTGGAAATATGACCAGATTTCACGAATTGCTGCAAATTTATCTGTTCGTTTTCTTTCTTCCCTTGTTCTTTTGTCGTCAAATCTCAAACAAGAAATAATATCCTGAAAACGAGTTCTTGACATAGTGGCTTTGAATATTGGCGGTTCTAATGGACTTCTTCTCCATAAGCATTTCAGATCGATCTTCGATTTCCCCAATAAACCAGCAAGCAATAAAAGTCCAATAAATGCTTTCAATTCTATGAGTGTTATTTCTTCAATTTTTTTCGTGGAGGTATTCTTGTGAGTATACTCCAAGTTTGAATAATCCAAGATTTTTTCCAGAAGTTTGTTTGGCATAAAACACATGAATGCATCTTCGACAGATGAAATATTTTCACTGGTATTTGTAAGACCAGCTTTTTGAATAACATCATTCGAAAAATCATTTTTCGTTGAATGATGAGGAGTTGAGGACCAAATCATTCCAGAACGGGAAGTATACGAACTTTTCCATGTGGAGTCATCGTCTAATTTTAGGTTTTCTAAATCAATTTCATCATCATCGTCGGATGTTTGGCTTTCGCCATCTCCCGTTTCCGAACCGCTGTTTGCATCATCGAAATAATCACTGTCGCTTCCGGTTTCACTTGAACTGTCCATAATCTTTATGAAAAATATTTCAATGGATTGAAAATGCACACCCCTTTAGATCAGAGAATGACTCATTTTATTAGACATTAGAATTTTCATTGTTTCTCCGTTTTGTAAAAAACATATTACTGATACAATGTTTTACTAAGGGGGCGCACTAATATGGAGAAAGAATGTATTTCGTTCTAGATTCATTATCATATATCTCTTCGTAAAGGTTACTAGCTGCTGCTGAAAACTGCGAAACAACAAAACATGTTTAGCATTTTTCGGAGATTTCGAGCGTGGGGTCAAAAATGACCCCGGCTGGTACTCCAAGGGTTAATTATCATGAATCGAGTCAATGAAAAAGAAATGCAATGACATGTCTTTTTGTTCTTGGTTTCTATGTCATCGCTCTTCGTCCATTCATCCTGTGAGTGTTCTACTGTTGCTATGCGCAGTCCTTTTCAATAGAATGCATATCTGAAGAGAATTTTTAAAAAACGAAAAAGAAGGAGGCAAAGCATACAGAACAGAACAAAAAGACGTTGCCATGCTGCAAAAGCAACAATTGAATCATTTGAAAAAAAACAAGCAAACGGTATACGACGCAAAAGAAATTCAAATCAGCAGCAAACGTATTGATTGCAATTATTTGGCTGTGGTGAGTTAATTATTAGGAAGATTCGAAAAGGAAAAGAAACTATTTTGAATACTATATACTCAGTACTGAAACACTGCAAATATTAGAAATATTTAATA